GATCTTATCCCACCGGATGAGATGGAATTTTCTTTCGTATCCAAAAGATCCCAATAGAAAATTGTGCATCATACATTCGATACGCATTGTCACTGCCCTTGGCATACGTAGAAGAGACATTTGGTAAATAAGAAGGTTTGCTAAACAAGAGTTCAACAACATGACTCGACCCCCCAAAGATAGATACTTTGACTTCCACAGATCTAGCTTTAATTGAACTCTTTGTATGACATTGTCCTACTTAGCGATGGGTAGACTCCCATCAGAGATCGATAGACCCAAATATTTAAAAAGAAACTTGTCCACCCTACATCCATATCTTAAGGCAAGATCTCTAACCATCTCCTCATCATAATTCACACTAATCATTACTGTTTTTCTAAAATTGACTTTCAACCCCATTAACACCTCACTACAAAGCAAGAAGCTCTTAATCTTATCAATTTGTTTTCTATTCGTATCACAAAAGAGCAATGTATCGTCAGCATATTGTAGATGAGAAATTCGAATATCGTTTTGAGAAACCTTAAAACCTGTAAAATACCCTCTATCAACAATATTGCAAATCATTTTACTGAAGCATTCCGCATGCAACGTGAACATGAAAGGTGATAGAGGGTCACCCTGTCTCAGGCCTCTAGAGGACTTGAAGAAGCCTTTCGGACTTCAATTAATAAGGAGTGAAAATGAGCTGTCGAAAGACATCCAAAGATTCAGTTTCTCCATCTAGATCCAAAGACCATCAGTTTCATTACCTTCAGAATGCACCACTCAATACTGTCATAAGCTTTCTCTAAGTCCAACTTAATCACTACACCAGGTTCTCTGCTTAACAATCTCGAATGGATACACTCTTGAGCAATTAGTACACTGTCCGAAATCAACCTGTTTTGAACAAAGGTTGACTGCGTATCCGCAAGAAGCAAAGGGAAGACCGATTTCAGTCTTTCAACAATGATTTTAGCTACAATGTTATAGAGGTTGATAAGAAGACTAATAGGCCTAATGTCAGACAGAGAAGAAATACCTGACTTCGTAAGAATTTTAAAGCTATAAAGGTAGCATTTACACCTTTAAAAAATTCCCCTATCTCCATGAACTCCCTAACCGTATTCAGTAACAAGTTTAACCAGAGGTCAGAACTGTTGAAAGAAAGCTAGAGGGAAACCATCCAGACTAGGTGCCTTATCTCCTAGGAGTTTAAACACAGCTTGCTTGAGCTCTTCCATCGATACCCTATTTCCAAGTTGTCCGCTATTGAAGAGTGGATAGAGGAAAAGGCTAACTTTGCCAACTTGGCCTTGAAAGGAATTTCTGTAGAGAAAGATTTATGAAAATGAGAAATAATACTAGTCTCCCTTGCTATATTATCATCTTCAGCAACACCAGGAGTTACTAGACCAGACAAGTCGTTTTGTCTCCTGCGTTCACTAGTAATAGCATGAAAAAACTTTGTATTGCAATCCCCTTTTTTAAGCAATTTCACCCTAGACCTTTGTTTCCAATAGATCTCGTTCAGTCTAGAAAGAGCATCCTGAGATGACAACAAGTTAGTCCTCAAACCCAAGTCAGCCTCATAAATGATGCCCGATTGATGAATATCCTGATCCCATCTCTGAATCTCCGAAAGGACATTATTAATTGTTTTAATCGACAACCAATTCTCAGATCTCCAAATTAACAGTTTGCGTTTAACATTGATGAGCTTTTTGTGAAGCTGAAAATCCATCGACCCAAAGCTAATAAGAATTCTCCCAAGTGGATTTAATTAGGTAGATAACTCCAGGTTAATCTGGCTACCCTAGCTCCAATCTAAAATGCAATCTCCCACTATTACTTAAATTAGTATTAAGCAATAACAGAATGTGGTTAGATGAGAGCCTCGGTAATGCTTTGACAGTTGCTAGAGGAAAGGTTCTATCCAATCCTGAATCATTAAGAACCGATCAAGTTTGGACATGATCAGGTTATTATCATTGCTATTGGACCACGTAAATTTGGCTCCTGCTAAAGGTAAATCGAGGAGCTGAAGGAGCTCAATAAAAGAGTTAAAAAGACGCATCTTAGAATTGAAAGTAGTGTTTGAGGAGGTCTCATCTGGCCAGCGAATGAAATTAAAATCACCACCAAAACAGATAGGCATATTATGAGAAAGCAAAATATCACTTAGATCATTAAGAAGACCTTCTTTGAAAGAAGGCATCACTGAGCCATAGACATTAACAATACCTTAAGAAGTTTCAGGATCCAGTCCTCGAAAAAAGATAGCAATAAAACTATTCTTTTTCACTACAATCAGATAAAGCAAAGAAAGGGGGTCCCAAAGGATCCAAAAACCCCTTGAGGGCCTTATTGCATCAACTCCCTCAAACTGAATAGCCCCACGTCCCCATATCTCCCTAACCAGAGCAAAATTTGGAGCATTTGACTTAGTTTTTTGCAAAAGAACAACCTCAGGTCTATGCTTTTGAATTAACAACATTATATCCATTTTACATCTGGTGTCACTTAGACCTCTAACATTCCAAGATAAAAATAACATTAAGAGTGAGAAGTAGAACATGACCTCTCTAAGAAGGAACCAAAACCATCCCCATCTGAAAAGGGCAAATCCTCCTCCAGACGATTGCTCGAGCATGAGGAATCACTACTCACATCGATCACAACATTTTCCTTCAATCTGATTCCCTTCATAGTCTTTGCTCTCGGTCCTTGAGCAGCTGAGTTGAGAATTTGACAGCATGGTTCTCCTTTCGGCGCAAGCCTTGCATGCTACACTTTTTGTTCGGAGGCATCAAGAGAGAGCCTTGTGCAGCCTCTGATTTTGCTTTCTTCGTCACCTTCATCTTTTCCTTGAGGGTTTGTAGTATAACAGCTAAGGGAATCTCAAAGGAGAGGCTACAATCATCAATCAATGAGACCAAACTTTCATCTTCATTAACAGCATCCCGCAGGCCACCATAAAGATTTGGGGCCCTCAAATTTGGACTTTCACAACTCGCATCAGGGCATGGTACTATTGCACCAACAACATCACCATCATTCTTCGCTTCAACAGCCTTCATCTCCCAAGATGGTCCCGTACCCATCGCTCTCCCTCATTGACAAAGTGGAGGAGCAAGGGCTCAAGTTGAGGAATCATCTCAATCGATTGTTCCTAGCCAGCTTCCACCACGAAGCATGCCTTTCTGGCTCGGCACCACCCCCCGTTTCAGCAGCACTGAGCTCATCCTTCAAATCATGATTTTGCTCCTCATCAGCATCTTCAACCACGATCAAGGCCAACGGGTCACGAGGTTCCCTTTCCCTATCTTGTGGTGGTCTCTTCTTCTTCACCGCCAAGTGGGAGGGGAGGAATCTCATCTTCATCGACAAGCTACATCAAAGCAGCACCACGATAGCTAATTGTTTACATTGGATCCTAGCAAGCTTGGGTGGAGGAACTTTGTAGCACTCAAAGATCCTTCCCACCGCCATAGAGTTCGAAAAAGAAGCCCATTTATCAGCGCTGTTTATGGGGAATTGTAGCCCCTTTCCCATCACTGCTGGGAGAAGATGTGAGGAAGGGGAAAGACCTTTTCCAAAGAGGATAGGGTACGCTGGCAAGATTTCTACGATCTCCTCAACAGTCTTCAGTGCAAGGCCGCTATTCTCGATAAACTGTGATTTATCCCTTAAAGAGAGATGCACTTGTTTAGGTGGTCCATCAAGAACACCGTCATCCACAACGGGTTGCGTGCCCTGCATAAATTTTGGTATAGGGTAGAGGTAGTCAAACGAGTCGCTAGGAAAACGGCCCACCAGAATCCATTTCCTTTTGAATTTCCAAAACTCGAAGCCGAAAAAGCCTGCACGTGTGTTCTTCAACTGTGGATTTTGGTGCTTGCTGTGGCTCTACAGTGACGAACCTTCACCATTGATGACCTTCTTTTTCTTTTTATGGCTCACCACCGTCCACCCTTCATCGATACTAGGTTCAACTCCCCTAGGATCTAGGACAAGCTTATCAACAGAGTTTTTTAATACCGAATCAATGATGAAGCTCTTAGAGCCAATCATCAGATAAATCTTTGATGGAAGGGGAATCTTCACCAGACACCAAAGTTTAACTCAAACAAAATCCAAATGGCCCACTTTCAGCAGGTTCCAGTCGATATCACAGTAGGACCCATAGACATTTGCCAGTTTTTGGAAAATAGCAAGCTTCCACGTATGTAGAGGGATGCTTCAGAAGCGTACCCACACACATTCCCTTTCTACGAGTGAACTATGAAATGAAGGAACCCAGGAGTCCAAATAGAGTAGTTTGCCACGAACCCTGGCAAATCTAGAGAGAGAAAGCACAAATTTAACCTCATCAGCACATCTAAGAAAGAAAATTACTCTATTTGCTCTTAGTGAGTGAACTTCCGGCATATAGGAAAGACCCTAACTCGTCTTCACACAGTCTCCCAAGCCGAAAACATCATTTGATGGTGGAGAGAAGGAACCCATCACCACCGAACAAGTTTTGAAACTAGTATCTTCCACGAACTTGCTATCAACGATCACCTTAGGCGAGGAATCCATCCACGATCCCCTAGACCTAAGCTTCAACAATCCCCCACCTCCCACTGTTGTTACCCTTGTTGATGAAATCCTATACTGCAATAAGAGAATAGACTTCCTATACAACTTACCTTCAACCAAACTGTTTTTCTCAATTTTTACCCCAAAATATACTTTTCTAACAAATATCCGTCAAGTACCAAAAGCTACATCTCACGACATCTTTGTTTATTGTTACCACATTAGATCATTCCCTTAAGGTTAGATCCCAAAATTTAATCCTAATAAATACACGTAGGTTTTACCGGGGGTGGAAAATAGTATTATGAAATCTCCTTGCTCGAATCTTTCACCTCAGTAATCGTACAATATGATCCTGCAGGAACATAGTATTCCCTGCTCTCCTAGACCATAGTAATGAGTATATCAACGGAGTTTTTCTCTCCTATCTTGCCTGCGGCCGTCGGCTTTTTCTCTCCGCCCTCCCCAGCCGCCTTACGCTACGCCTTTCACTGGCTATCGCCGGTTTCGCTCTTTTCTCAACTTTCCCGATATTTTACCTCTCTCTCTCCTCTCTCTTTCTCTCTCTTCCTTCTCCCCTTGTGTCTCCATGCATGGAAGACGCAGAAGAAGCCGTCGGCTTCTTTTCCTTAAATAAAACCCTAACCTTCGTTTCTTGAATCTTATCAGTCTGTCTCTTAAGCTTCTTTTCTCTTCAAACAAGGTAGCGATCAGAAAGCTTCTTTATCTCCTTTTTTTGCGCTAAGAGTGATCTTTTTTTTCTTTGTTGCCTTTAGGCGTATGAGAATTCTTATTTTTCACTGTTTGATTGGTTTATTTGATAGTTTTATTTGATTCTTTTGTTGAATTATTGTCCCTGATTCATATTTCAATTATTCTTACTGTTTATAGTGGCTTATATCTTTCTTTTTTGGGTAAATTAACTGTGTGTATAGGTTATTAGGACTGGAGAGCATGGTTTTTTCTGCGATTTCTGTGAAATTTTAAGTGATTTTTGGTGTTGGATCTTCTCTCTAGGGTAACTAACAGTCTCTTTTGGGCTATTTATTGGTTTATTTATTTAGGTTTTTGTGGATTTTGAAACTTTATATTAGATTGATATTCTTTATTTTTTTATACCCTGTTTACCGTGTTATTATTATCACTTATCCTTTTTGTAGATTTTTAATGGATGTTTGTGACCATTGGTGAAGAAATGGGTATGGTATTCTCTGCGGGTGGTTTCTGTTTATTTTTGTTCTGTTTTCCTTTAAAGAGGGACTATTTCCCACAGTTTCTAAAAATTTAGGTTTTATGTCGTGGGGCTTATTCTCGGTTCTTAGTTTTCACTAGTTGATACCATGCTGATTGTTTCATCATTATTAGAGAATTAGTCAAATTCAATAGACATGGCGCGTGCTTCCCATATAAAGGAGCGCAGAGCTCAGCTCTATCAATTTCGACCCGAATTTAAGTAACAAAGTTGCAGCTGTCTGTGTTCAACTCTTCGTTAATGTGGATGCCATATTTTAGTTCATTTCCCAACTTATGCTTTTTGGGTATTACTGTTTAGGGACTATGGGTTCTTGATAACTGGTGGGTTGCCTTTTCTAATGATATCCCCTACATAACTGAGAATTTTGTAGCATATTTTGAAGTGGTTTCGAGGGTGTTTTTTTCTAAGCAATCAGGATGTGTTGCTTTTGATCATGTTGGTATAACTTCTGTGGAGTATGGGAAGCATGATGCAAACAACTTTGTGAAATTACTTTCTACTGCAATAACATTTGATCATATTGATATGACTTCTTTGGAGTATGGGAAGCATGATGTAAAGCACTTTGTGAAATTACTTTTTACTGCAATAACATAATGGACCTTTTGCAAACCAGCATAGGGAGTGGAGAACAAATGGTTTTCCATGAGAACTACCTAAGGTTTCCATGGAAGTGTTAATCTTCGAAATGTGAAGGCCACCTGAGGTCATGGTTCCTATAGCTAAGATTCATCACCATCATTAATGAAGGGTAGAGTGGATGGACCGAGTGGTTTCTTTAGATCAGCAATAACGTAGAGTTGGGAGAGTTCTTTAGCAACATGCTTTCAGGGCATGTGGATTTGGTTTTTCATAATTCTTACCAGCTAGGCTTGGATTAAAGAACTTTGATTGGTTAAACATGCAAGAGTGACTTGACTTGGGGTCTGTGATGGAATTCGGGGCTTGTCAAGAGGGGACTCAGATTTGGATGTATTTTTTCTTTTTTGGCATTAGCATGGAGGAGTTTTGGTAGGAGGGACTTTGCTGAATTATAAGGTTGGAAAGAAGAGGCTCCTAGTTGTTTTTGGGGGAATGGTCTTGGGTGGGGCTGTTTCATAGTTTTGGATGGTTAGATGCATGGTTTCAGGAATCTTGAGAAGTCTTTTTTTCAAATTGGAGGAACCATTAATGAGCCACATTGGTTAAAAAAGAGGGGTGGTGTTTCTGTGACTACTTTTTGTGAAGCAAGGTTGAACTTATAGTCGATTTGAAGGATGGACAGACAATGAGGCTAGGGAATCTCATAATCTTCTGAGGGCAAGTTGAGGGTTTTAATAGTCTTATTTTGATGAAAGTGGTGGAAATGGGAGGGAGGGGGAGAGAGAGGGAGGGAGGGAGAGGGGGAGGGAGGGAGAGAGCGGGGTGGGAGGGGGTAGGGGGTTATTGAGGAGGATCTGTGTGTTTTAGGTTTGTAGGGCGTAAGGGTTGTTCTTGACTTGAGGTATGTGGCCATGAAAGAAGAAAGATGAGGTGTTAGTTTGTCTTAGTTGGTCCTTAAGGGAATACCCTGCTAGGATACATTGAAACCACACCACAATTTTTCTTCATGGATCCTCCAACTTTTTGTCCTGTTTGCTGCTTTTACTACATAATCCTTGGACCATGTGACCCCTCACCGATCCTAAAGTTTCTCATTTGACCTTAGCTGCTGGCCTTGCTAGAGAACTAGGGGCTTTGTCGTTCTTGTTGTTTTTCTTCTTCTATCTTCGCCAGTCCTCATTGTCTTGGTCATGGGTTATGACCAATATAGAATCACCCTCTTGTTCTATTTTTCAAACCCAATCCATCTCTGATCATCTCGGTCCTCTTGGACCTACCAAATGAGGGTGAACATCTTCACTATCCAACTTTGGTCCACCAGGTGAATATCTGCATGGCAATCCCTTGAAGAATCCATTCATACCTCATTGATCCTCAGTCCTCTTGGGACAGTAACAAATCTAACTGCTTTCATGATTCCATTGCATTAGATTACTTATGGTCTACAACATGGTTGTGGTCAGAGCTTTGGCTGGGGCCTCATGCACATGAATCCAATTTAGACAAATGAAACCCTCCTTCAGATAAGAAAATTATGTCCAGTTTGATTTATCACGGAACCAAGGCCCACCTTTTAGGATGACAACTAGTTTGGCCCTCGTTTTGGATTTGGAACAATAACCAACCCCTCTCCACCTTCCACAATCTTTACTTATGTCCCCTCTATAGTGCAACCAAATTTGGGTGACGGATCCTAAGTTTTCAGCGAAAAGAACATGAGAGCTGATATTTTTTGAGTTCTTATTTACCCACTTTGATATAGTTCATATCTGATGCCATTCTCCAAATTTACCTCCTGGGCTCTAACTTAACCTCCACCACATGCTTTCAGTATGTTCAACCATGTTGACAGCCTTATGCTCAGTTTGGGTCTCGTGAGATAGCTTTGTACCAGGAAGGATAAAGAGAAGGATAATTATTGACAAGGGCTCCTCTCCTATCTTTTCCCAACTCATGCACGGTATGCGTTCGCAAAGAACCAATGTCTATCTGCTTACATGCATATTCAAGCCTTGGTATTGGGAAGCAACATCGCTCATCTCTAATCGTGCCTGGGAAAATGAGGAAATAAACAACAAAGTAAAGAATTCTTGAGCTTTTGTAGTGATAAGATGGCTGGTTTTTATGAAGGATGTCAAGGGTTTGAACCTTGAAGGTTATCTACGAAACAAATCAAACTAGCTTTACCCTTTTCTAGGGTCAAGTGATTGGCTCTGTGGTTCATGAGGTGGCCACACAACCTGCAAGTTTGAATCCAGTTAACCTGCAAAGGAAAAAGAAAGTAATTAAGTAAAACATGAGGCCTAGTTAGGGCTTTTTAGACATGATAAATCAGATCTTCTGGATCCTTTGATGATATTCCTCATGTTAGAATATTTTCCTAGTTGACTTTAAGCTGGACACAACATAGTAATGGCCATGCCATAGTTGAATATTGTTGATTTTTAATTTTGAAATGTATTTGCAATATCTTATAATTATCTAGGCCTAAAAATCTGATGTTCCCATAGCTATAATTCCAAGTAGTGCTGTGTCCATGCTATTTTTCACTCTCGTATTTGTGTCTATGGCATGCTTTGACACCTATGACTCTTTCTAGACCCTGTTCTCTGGTTAACATATAGTTTTGGTGCATTACATTGTTGATTTGCCTGTGGACTTCCTCACTTGGTTATAGGATTCTTAAATCATGATAATTTCTGCTTTTCTGAAACAGATGCTTGCAATGTAAGCATATTGTCTAATTGGCCATGCCCATACCGGCCACGTGCAAATTGCTTTCTGCATCTATTTCTAGCACCTTCTACCTTTAGATATCATTTGCAGCAATCCCATGTTTTTAATAAAAAATAAATATACACTGTGACAGCATTTACTTTTCCGTTGCTCATGGCCCTTGTCACGTTTGCATTGCTTACTTAAGTCACTTCGAATGGAAATGTTTGGAAGGAGTGCAGCATGGAAAGAATCTGTCACCTGCTCTATTTCTCGGGCCGCATTTATATATGAAAATGTGCAGTTTCTGCAAGAGCAATTAGCATTTCCACTTTGTGATCCATTTTCTCTGTCGTGTTAAATGGCAGGAATAGTCAATCACATGGTTTTCCCCGGTGGCTAGCAATCCTACAAGCAAATCAACTGAGTATGGGTGGGTGCTGCTGCCATCCTAGAAGCGATGAAGTCACTACTGGGGTTCCAAGATATTATTATGTGAGTTGCCTATACTTTTCTTGCACCTGATAGATAACTTAATATGAGTACTGAATCATTATTTTTTTGGTACCCTATAAATGGGTTTTGTACTCTTGACCAAAGTTCCTTTGATATCTGCTGGCTGACCCATGATTTGACCATGTCCAATGTTACGACTGACCAGTCAACATGGTCATGTATGATCCTTGAGGCAATTAATTTGCTGAGCCAGGAGGATGATTCTGAGGAACTTGTGCAACTTCTCATCATTACTTGACTATTTTGCTAAATGTCATATACTTGCATCCAGTCTTACAACCAAGCAGTCAACATGGTTACATATGATCTTCAGATAATTGATTAGCTGAGCCAGGATGAAGATTCTGAGGAACTTTTGCTACTTCTCATTCATTATTTAAATATGTTGTTTAAGGCCATTAATGCAGTTATTGATAATTTAATGAAACTTATCAATAATTTATGTAAAAATTTGCAAATTGGGCAAGCTTCATTGTTTTTGCTTTTGGAATATGAAGTGAAACTTACTGCCAAAAGATTCTGAAAAAGTTGATGTGATTTTGGAGTAAATAATGTATGGTCTTCTAAGAAAAATTTCCAAATAAGCTGCTGTCCTTCAGGAAATGCCTTTATATTTCCTACTTTCAAGTACCTTTGACTCTGTACTTGGGTCAAGATGTCCTTTTTTGTTAAAAGGTTAAAGGTATTAATTGCATAAAACAACAAGTGCACATACTAAAAGAGGCATCTAGGGTGGTGAATGATCCCAGAAACCCAATGTCTCGATAGTTTTATTTACATTTGCTAGCCATCCTCTATTGTATTTACTTCCTTCATTGCATAATGTTATCTGTTATATTGGAATTACAGAACTACTTAATTTCCAAGATGGAATCTAGATAACCCTTTAACCCATTTGGTTATGTATTTCAGATTTCCCTTAGTGATATCTGGGCTGCGAACTCTGTCATAATGCGCACTTCTTTCCAGGTCATGTTGGTTTTGACCATTCAATATTCAATATGCTATGGTCTTACATAAACTAGAATGACTTCATTCATGTCTCTAATAGACTTGCGGTTGCTGGCTGGACCATGGAAGAAGTTTATCGTAATGATGTCCTCGGTTGGCGGCATCTTCTCTGTGAAAGCTTGTAGTTTTGATCTCTGTCTTTGTAGTATTAAGGTCTATGATGCTTTAAGATATTCAATACCACGAGCGTATGCCAATGAAACAATGTACCATTTGATTATATCAAGTCATGGTTCCTATAGATAAAAGAAAAAAGTCTGTGAGGCACTTTCAAAAAATTAAAGAAATTCCAACTTTTAAGAGGAAGAAAGTTGTTTTTGTTTTTGTTGTTGTTATTGTTGTTTGTTCGGGGGGGGGTGGGGGTTGTGGTTCCACCTATGAATGCCGAAAGCTAGATAGGCACAAGGATTAGCTCATGTCCCATGGTAAACTCTCAATGCTCTTTCTTTTCCCAAGTATGTGGAGAATAAATTTTGATAATTATCATTATTGGGATGTTATCTGTGGGGAGTTTCATCAGTATGTTATTGTGTGTGCGTGTGAGTGAGTGAGTGAGATTTTTCAAATAATCAATTGGACTTTGATATATTAAATTAATATAAATATTTGTTAAAATTGGTTGACATAAATTCATATCATCTACAATTAAAGACATAAATATGTTAAAAATATTTTAAATGATAAAGTTGACAATACATTTCGGAGAAATTAGGTGTGGCACTAATAGGTGATAAGAGGAGAGAGCGAGTAGACTTAGGTGGGCTGGCTATGTGTGGCGCTGACCATGTACAATACCTGTTAGGAGGTGCGAGTTAGTTCAAGTAGAAGGTCTGAAAAGGGCAAGGGTTAGGCCCAAAAGAATGTGATTGGAAGTGGTCCAAAAAGATATGGAGACTTATAGCCTTACTGAGGGTATGACCTTTAATAGAGCTGAATGGCGGCTCAGGATTCGTATAGCTGATCTCAATTAATTGGGAAAAGGCTATGATGATGATGATGATGAAAATAGTTTCTTATGTTAACAAAACTTCAGCAATCACTATCCATAATAATAGTTTTTACTTGTATATCCATTATTAATTCCGTGCAAATTGCTCCCCATTTGCATTATTGAGATTTTAGAGCAATTTTAGTTAACATTTTTTTTGGAATTCAAGAAAACTATATTCTTGGGGGGAATGTACTTGTGGGGCGCATACTTTCTGGGCTGACACTATTTTATTGTGTTGGCACTAACATAATGTTAAACTTGTGTAAGCCATATGATTTACTCTCACTGGCAATGTTGCATTGGCCAAGGACAAGTGATGTAGAATGCCCCCATCCTCTGGTGTACCTTTTTTCTGCTTGGGAGTATTTAGCGTCCATCATATAAGAGTATGTTAAGCTCAGTGTCCCAATGGGAAGTGAGTTAACAAATTCCGAAGTTGTTTGTGTAGCTATATATTTTCTTTTAGTACATAGTAGACACATCCAGATATGATGCCTACGTAATTAATTCTGAGCCATGTGCATGCTTAATCAGAGCTATCAAATTATATGCTTATTGGAATTGTATATTCTGCTCTTTGACCGGTTAATGAGAGTTGAAATTTTGACCTTTGAAAACTGCCCATGGTACTTATTCTCTGTTGTGGAAAGTGAATCGTTTTTAATTAATTTCCTTCTTTAATACTCATTCCTCATTGATATATTGAATCTGCTCATTTCTTTTTGCAGTATCCATCTTCAGAAGGCCATGATACATTGCCATCTCCCCGAAGTACTGCTTCTGCAGTTCGTCCAGGGCTTTTGGTTGATACGAATTTGGATTCCTCAATACCCGACACTTTCCAAGCACCTCCACCACCATTGCCATATGATGAGGGTACAGGTCTTATGCAAACTTCACGTGGTAGTGGCAAGATTGGACCAGTACGTGATACATCAGAGGCCGAATCTCTTGGAGAACCAGCTAGGGGTGGTGGACGTGACACTTTAGTTTCAGGTGGTGATCAGAAGGAGTCCAACAAGATTGAAACTGAATATGATCCGAGTTCTCCAAAAGCATGCAATGTAGAAAAATCTAAGTTGATCGAGCCTATTGTTCCAACTACAGACGAGGAAGATGTCTGTCCCACTTGTCTTGAAGGTCGAGTCCAGTGTTCTCTTTCAACAAAATGTTTTGGAATATGATTTCTCCTCATTAATTATTTGGATTGTGGGCTTAAACACACCCCCCCAACCCAAAACAAACAAAAAGAAAAAAAGAAAAAAAGGAAGAGATTGATAAAAAGATAATATGCTGATTTTACATGTTTATGCATGTGGTAGGTTGTTATACTCACACACATATCATAAGTATACCATCTTTTATAAGGTGGTCTTCTTATATAATTTTCTAAATTCTTAGAGATCATGAAGTGCTATCCTGTTATTGTTGTTGAACGCACCATGAGTTCTGGTTTTGAAATGTTTTAATTTTTCAACTAAGATACACCAATAATTCTATTTTCGGAAGGATTAGGGTTTTTGGTCAAACTTTTTCTAGTTCCTTGGATAGTTTTCTAAGTATTAGGCACTTAAGGGGAGGACCTTAAACCTTCCCTTAACCCATGTAAAGGAGGTGAGTTGTGTTAGGTAGGCAGTCAATGTAAAACTGTGTAAAAACTTTCCATGTAATGATAATTTATAGCTATATATGTTTTTCTTTATCTAGATAAACCACGTAGGTGAACTCATTATTCACTTCCCCATGTGAATAAATAGCATTTTCAGTATCTCTGATATCCTATTAACACATCAATGTTTGTTATTCGCCTTGCATTTCAGACTGATTGGGTGATTTTATGGTATATTAGAAGCAAGTGTTAGTGACATATTTTGCTTTGTTGTTCTGCAGAATACGACAAAGAAAATCCAAGAATTATTACCAAATGTGAACATCATTTTCATCTTGCTTGCATTCTTGAATGGATGGAAAGGAGCGAGACTTGCCCTGTCTGTGATAAGGTCTGTATTTGAATTGCTATCTCCATTTTTAGGTTATAGGTGGTGCCATTGATAGAAACCTTCCTGGACCTAACACTGATTTTGAGGTAGCTCTTGTTCTATATGTGATGTAATCTTTTTTGAACAGTTTTCTTATTTTGATCATGTAATCTTTTTTGAATAGTTCTTTTATTTTGATCTTATAATGATGATAGTGTTATCTCAATCATTTACCTTTGACTTGTTGATACCAGTTTTCAACATAATCTTTATGAGATACACATTTCAGTTATGTTTGAACTCTGAGTGAAATGGCTATCTAGTAACAATTGAATCTCTCATGGCTCTCACTACCGTTCTATGGCTTCCACATCTGACTTTGCTGGAAAATATTTCTCCACCCAAGTTGAAGAAAACAACATGAGAGATCCTGATTGAAGAACCATCAACCAATGGGCATAAAAAAGTGTCCTTCCCCCTTTTTTGGTCCTTTTTGCCTATATCTCTTATGAAGTTTGGTTTCGAGAATTTTAATGTTATCTTGTAGGGATCTTTTGCTGCGTGTTAAAAGTGTGCCACACGAGAAGAATTGGCATTCATCAACCCCTTTCTTACCACATTCATGCTTAGTTTGTTCTCTCAATACATTCGCAAGACAGCCGATAGTATACCCACAAGGGGGTCTAAATTCACAATTTGGATGGATTCACATTTTCTTCGCAGGATACCTTCTATATAAGCAAGGACCCCTCTGTAATTCTCATTTGAGGGTCAAGGCAAAAAGAGTAGGATCAATCTTTGGTCAAGGTTATCCATGGTGTGGCAACAACAATAGAGAAAGCTTCTTTTGCCTTAAGATTGTCCTTGACAAGGCTTTTGACAAGGTTAACTAGGTTGACCTTGAAAGAAATAAAGAGAGATGCTTTTGGGGAACCATTAGCTTGGTTAATGTGCATCACAAACCCAAGATACTCAATAATTTGAATTGGGACCCACATTGGTTACATTAAAGGACAAAATGGTCTTAGACAACGAGAGCCACTTTCTCCTTATCCCTTTTTTCTAGCTGTGGAATGCTTGAGCAAGATCATATAAAAGGACCCTAGAAAAGGAAATTCATTCCACTTAATATCCCGATAGTCACCTCTACCTCTTTTTTGTGCATAGAAGCTCTAAAACCTGACAGGTTGATTTTTGACAAATGAAGTATGTGAAAATAGTACCGTCAATGGCACAAAAAATAAAGCAGGAAATAAATAATGCAAAAAGAACACCAGATTTTATGTGGTTCGTCAAATGTGTGACTATATCCGTGGGCAAAGACGATATACTGTTTTAGAGGCTCCTCCTTGCCATCTTTCCCAACACTATGGAAAACTTCAATTTTATCTTTTCTTAGTCTTCAAGTCTATTTTAAACGATATGGAACTGGCCCAAAAGATAACTTCTTACATAATTAGAATTATCCAATTAAACATCAAACCCATAAATATGGAAACTCATCTATATTAATACCAATCCCAATAATATAGGATTTCTTTAATGAGGTGATTTTGGATATCACCAATCTAACAATCTTTACTTTGGCATAAAAAATCACTTGCTCGCCATTCCAACATTCATTGGAAAACTTATTGAAATCTTCCCTTTTTGTCAAATAAATTCCTTCACAATTCTTGCTGAAACTTGCCATTAAAATTCTCTGGCTCAAACTTTGCATTCGAAACACTAACACCCCAAACCAGGCTCTTATGGCACTACTTGTTGTGTGCGGAAGCTTTAAAATCTGACGGGTTGATTTTTAGCAAATAAAGTACGGGAAAAATACAACCTACAACAAGCAAGCAACGATCACAAAAAAATAAAGTAGGAAATAAATAATGCAAAAAGAACACTATATTTTACATGGTTCGTCACAGGTGTGACTACATCCATAGGCGAAGACGATTGATGATTTTTAACTAATCAATGAGAGAAAAATTACAAGAACCTCATACTTGAGAAAACCAGAGATAAAACCTAATCTCCCACAATGCTTCTCTCTACAAATTTTTCTCTTTAGAAAATGCAAGTTTCTCTTATCTTTTCTACACTTTCTATCTCTACAATATAACCATTATAAAAAGAAAGAGTAAACCCATAACCAAAAGCAAGTATATAGGGCTTTCTACAATTTTACCCAACTTTTTAGGAAATCTAACTTTACCCTAATTTGCTCAACAAGTCTATCATAATCATAATTGAAATTATCCAAAACAAACTACTGAAAAACAGTTAGTTATTAGAAATCCTAATTAAATAGGAAACCACCTAAAAATATGAGACCCCAAAAAAAGAAAACTAATCCCTTGAGACACCAAGAAAAATGTTGTAGATATGCTGACAAAGCCGGTTCGAATTATAGAACTTCAAGTTGTGGTTGGACTTCATTAATGTGTTGTCAAGGTGAGCGCCCATAGGTCATATGTGGAGAAGATGGTTGATGGGAATCTCGTTTGGAATTCAAGCCAAGGTGGAGATTTGTTATTTTGACTTGAATCTCAAAGTTGCGGGGTTACTTTTTTTTTTTTGGGTATCATATTTTTAGGTGGTTTCCTATTTAATTAGGATTCTTAATAACTAACTATTTTTTAGTAGTTTGTTTTGGGTAATTTCAATTATGATTAGGATAAACTTGTGGACAAAATTAAGATAAAGTTAGATTTCCTAAAAAGTAGGAAAAATTTGTAGAAAGCCTCACGTTACTTGCTTTTGGGTTACGGGTTACTTTTTTTCATGGTTTTTGTTGTAGAGAGGGAGTATGGAAAAGAGGAGAGAAACTTTGGTTTTCTAGAGAGAGAAAATTATAGAGAGAGGCATTGTGGGAGATTGGGTTCTTTTCTCTGGTTCTCTTATGTACGAGTCTTTTGTAATTTTCACTTATTGGCTAGTGAAAACCCATCAGTTTTCATTCATGGATATTGTCATACGTGTAACGAACCATGTAAAATATAGTGTTCTTTCTGCATTATTTATTTTCTACTTTATTTTCCTTGTTTGTTGCTTGCTTCTTGCCGATTCTATTTTTCTTGTACTTTATTTGCCAAAAATCGACCCATGGGGTTTTAAAGCTTCCATGCATAATAAGTGGTGTCAGAGCCTGATTTGGGGTGTCGGTATAGCGGTAAAGGTTTCAAATGCAAAGTTCAAGGTGGGGAAATTTGATGGTGTATATAATTTAGCAAGAATTGCGAATGAATTTATTTTGCAAAAATGGAAGATTTCATAATGTCATTTAATGAATTTTAGAATGACGAGTGAGTGATTTTTGATATCAAGTTGGAGATTGTTGGATTTGGTGATATCTAAAATCATCTTCTTAAGGAAATCCTATGATTATTGGATTGGTATTAATATTGATGAATTTTCATATTTATTGGGTTTCCTATTTAATTGGATAATTCTAATTATGTAAGAAGTTATCTTTTGGGCAAGCTCCATATGGTTTAGGATAAACTTGAGGACCAAGAAAATATAAAGTTGAAGTTTCCCATAAAGTTGGGAAAATATGGGAGGAGCCTCTCATGTAGCACTTTACAGGCTTTTGCTTTTCTTTATAAGTGGGTTATTAAAAAGAGAAAATGTGTGCTCTATTTGGGTCTCCTTACGGGAAAATTGGACGAACCACGTAAATTCCGGTGTTCTTTTTGCGTTACTTCTTTCTTGTTTTATTTTTTGTGCTTGTTATTTGCTTATTACTGGTTCTATTTTTCTCTCTTTATTTGCCGAAAATCAACTCATCGGGTTTTGGAGCTTCCGTGCACAACACCTCTTCACACGTACTCTAAGAAGATGACCTTTTGATCTTTAGAAATGTCCACTCACCCACAAACCCACCAATCCCTTAAAGCATCTCTATGACACTTCCAAAGTCAATAAGGACTCTAGAACAACCACTACAAAACCAACATTTTCTGCTTCAATTCCACCAACTCTGTCAAAACTGATGTGAGTGTTTCTTTTTTCCTGTGCACCTCCTAGCGACTACCTTCGACTTAATTTGGTTTCTGTGCACCTCCTAACAACTACCTTCCACTTAATTTGGTTTATAACTGTCCAAAGGGAAGCTCACAAATCACCTTTTCCGACCTTTACTTGATGAATTCATGTTTAGACGCGAGGGTTGAAAATTGAAACCCTTTCATAGCTAGTAATATTAACCCTCATAAATATTTACCTCACCTCAATCATTCTCCATTGTTGTTCGATGTACTACCTTTCCTCCATACCAACCAACACCCTTGAGAAGCCCCAAATGTTCCTTCTTGTGGGGCAACCAACCTAACCAAAAACACCCAAACGTTATTAAACGGAACTCAAGTTGTAAACCTAAGAGTGAAGATGGGCTTGGTATCCAAAGAATTTAAGGACATTAACTTGGCCCCACTAACGAAGCTAAGATGGCAGTTGGCAAGTAGGGATGACTCTTTGCAGTCATCATTGATTAGGAAAAAGTATCTTTGGATGCCATTATATGTGGGACACTAAGACCACAAGGAGGGATCATGGGCTTAGAAAGGCATCCATAGCTCCTTATCTATCATAGATGAGCATTCGCCTGGAGTTTAAGAAATCAGTTGTATTTCCTCTCAAGATGGATACTTCCCACTCAAAAGTGTCCATGGAGTGATTTGACAACATGGAAGTAAAATCAATGTCTTGAAGGCTATACGGAAAACCCTAGTCCTCTTAGGGCATCATGGTTCTCTTGCTTAGCGTACCGAAATAGGTTTCTCACAAATGATAGAATCCAAAGATGGACTTTTCAAGTGGACAACTATGCTACCTGTGCAAATCTGAAAATGAGAGTCACAATCATCTATCTCCAATTGTAAATTTGCCCATAGTTATGGGGATTTCCTACTTTGTAGGCGCCTTTTAGGATCTTGATGTTGTCGGTCCTAGATTGGATCTCTTAGTTATCTTGATTTTTAAATCTTGGAATCTCGATCCCCATTGTTAGGGATCTTGATTCATGTTGT